CGTTGGACCCCGCTGGTGGGGCCCCCAGCGCCGCCTTTGGCGCGCTCCGCGCGCCAGGGAGGGAGGTCCAGCGCCGATCCGAGCAATCTGCGTGGACCTCCGAGTCAATATGTTTATGTCAGCGGTTGGTCCCGTATTACGGCCCCGTCTTTTTCTCTCGATGCGTCTCCTGGGCCCCCTAGGCGGCGCACGTGCCTCGGGCAATGGTTTGCGACCCCCCCTCTTGGACGCCCCCTGGCGCCCCCGCTTGGGGGGCTGGGCTGTGGGGCCGGGCATGGGGGAGCTCGTCGCCACGGTCGAGGAACAGAGAACAGCATAGAGAGGAGGAGGAGGAGGAGGAGGAGGAGGAGGAGGAGGAGGAAGCAGGAGGAGGAGGAGGAGGAGGAGGAGGAGGAGGAGAGGAGGAGGAGGAGGAGGAGGAGGAGGAGGAGGAGGAGGAGGAGGAGGAGGAGGGAGGAGGAGGAGGAGGAGGAGGAGGAGGAGGAGGAGGAAGAGGAGGAGGAGGGAGGAGGAGGAGGAGGGAGGAGGGAGGAGGAGGAGGAGGAGGAGGAGGGGGGGAGGACAAGCTAGGTGCGCTCGCGTCATATCTGACATCCTACCCCTCCCTCCCATCCCTTACCATGGCGTAGATCCCCTGTCTACTCGCACAGTCGGATGTCGAGCAGGGCAATGACCCCGAAAGGGTACGCGACGCATTGTAGAGCACGGCATGGCATGGCGTAGAAGAGCACCGCGCTGCGTAGTATGTCACAGCATGGCGTGGCGTGGCGTAGTCAAGAATTGCATCACAAAGCTTTGCAACGCAAAGCATGGCATCGCACAGCGGCCCCGAACATAACATTGCATAGCATGGCGTTGAATATCAAAGCGTAGCATGGCATAGCACGACGTGGCATTTAAGCACTGGATCTCACAGCTTCAGCTGAAGTGAAGGCATGACATCGCGCAGCGGAACGCAACCTAGCATTGCATTGCGTGCCGTGGCATGGCACGGGAAATGACGCCAGCGCTGCAGCGGGAGCACGATTCGGAACGAGCGGAAGCGCGGAAATGAGGCCAGCGCTGCAGCGGGAGCACGATTCGGAACGAGCGGACGCACGGAAATGAGGCCAGCGCTGCAGCGGGAGCACGATTCGGAACGAGCGGGGCCCGGAAATGAGGCCAGCGCTGCAGCGTGAGCAGCATATTGACAAAAAATGCAAGCGAAAACCCAACTCCGGGGAATCCTGTGTGTAAAAAAACAGTACGCGGGGAAGGAGGAGAGTAGTATTCACATTGAGTAATTGTGGAGGAGGAGGAGGAGGAGGAGGAGGAGGAGGAGGAGGAGGAGGGAAGCCTGAATTGCCGGAGCTCCGCCTGGAGTCCCTGGATCGGTTCCAGGGGCCCCCTTAGCGGCGCCTCCGGCGCCACCTTCAGCGCGCTCCACGTGCGGGGAAGGGGATCCGATCCAGCGCCGACCCAAGGAATTCGCACGGACCTCCGACAAATTGCACTTTAAGGTAGGTTCGCGTCGTGTCGACCAGCGGCGACACCGCAGCTGGCATTCAACGTTGAACGCCGTCGGCGAGCCAGAGCCAGTCGACTTCGAACGATCTGACGTTTCGGAAACGGCCGATAGTTCAAGTCGGGTGTTGCTAGAAGTGCCCCTAGCCAAAGGTGCCCCCAGCTGTTCGCTCAATCTTGGAGCCTCAGGGCCCTTTGGAATTCGTCAGGGGTGCTTTGGAGGCCGTGGGGGCCTCTTCGGAAATCCTGTAAGCACCTTGAGCCTGGGGCACTTCTGGAAGCACCCGATCAAGGTTGAACGATCCCCGCGGTGTCAAGAGCCAACGCCAGGGTCGACACGACGCGAACCTGCCGTATGCCGCTTCCTGCTCTTCTACACGGGACGCAACGGGGGGGCCCACTTGGGCGGCGCAGTAGGAGCGGGACCCCTCAGGGTATCTGCGCTGGCGGCGGGGGGTTCTTGTGCATCAGTGTTCGGCTACACGTAAGAGTGACCTTTCGCTGGAGTGACCTTTGGTTCTAGGCCTCCTGGATGGGGTCCGAGTAGATGGGGTCGAAGGATGGCGCCGTCTCGTCGATGCATCGGCGAGGCGGCCCGATGTGGAGGCCGATCTTACCCACGCCGACGGCGCCGGTGCATCGCCGACGTCGCCAGTGCATCGCAGATGCATCGCCGATGCAGCGCGATCCTCCGACCCCACCTACTCCGACCCCACCTAGGAGGCCTCTGACGTAAGAGTGAGGTGGCGGAGAGGGCCGGGAGGGAAGGAGGAGGAGGAGGAGGAGGAGGAGGAGGAGGAGGAGGAGGAGGAGGAGGAGGAGGAGGAGGAGGGAGGAGGAGGAGGAGGAGGAGGAGGAGGAGGAGGAGGAGGAGGAGGAGGAGTCGCTGGAGTGGCCTCCGGTGCGGGCACGCTCGGGCCCCCGGAGGGCCAAAGGCGAGGCGACAGCAGCGGTCTCGTCGCTCGGGTTTGGCACCCCCGCGCCCTCCCGTTACGCCGCGTACCGAACGAACGAACGAAGCAGCCATACGCCAAAAGCGCGTGGGCAAGGACAGGCAGAGCGACACGCCAAACGCGTGCAATAAAAAGTTACGCGAAGCAGCCTGCCAAAGTACAGAGACACACAACATCAGCATAGTAATACAAAGCGCCCGACTGTGAAGCAGAAAGAGCAGAGCGCCCCACGACTGTGAAGCGCAATATCTTTTTGCACGGCGAATCGTCGACGTAAGCCCGGCCTGGGTCGTGGAGGACGGTCAGTGGAGAAGAAGCATGTTGCCAAACAATTTCCAGATGTCTGAAACATGTGTTAAACATGTGTTCGGCATGTAAACAATAACACGTCTGAGACATGTTTGGAACATTTTTTCCGGTATTTTAAACACATGTTGAATTCAATGATAGCACTGTTAGGGTGTCCATTGTCATGGCATCCACAAGCCTAGGGCCACTCTTGCGTGTAGTCGAAGTGTGCTGCGGGGGGGCGGCAGGGTTGGTCGCTGCGGGGTTGGAGGGCCAATCCTACCTGCTTCTAGAGACTTTTTTGTTTAGGGTCTGGCGATAACCCGGGTTATCGGGCTTGCCCCCCCCTCCCCCCCCCTCAGGATAACCTAACCTTGCCGGTTGTGCAGGTCCGGGGTGGTGGGGCGCGGGCATATGCAGGCCTGCCCACAGCGCGAAGGTCAGGTTATCGGCCGACCCCCTCCTCCCCCCCCAGATAACCCGGGTTATCGCCGATTCAAAAAAACGGTCGCCTCGAAGACCAATATTTGGAGCCTACACCAAATACCGTTCAAGCGTCTATGGACACATTTCGTGTCATTGCGTGTGGACGCATTCAGGGTGGATCCGTCGATAGACAGCGCGGCCGTTGCGTTCGGCGCAGTTCGAGGTCGGAGTCGAAGAATGGGCAGATCCGTCTACGGTATGTTCCGGTTCTAAAGCAGGTCCCACATGACATTCCACCAGCCAACGGCGGCGCTTTATTCGATTACCAAGAGATGGGTTGTGAATTGCGGCGGGCTCGCGTCTTTGATGCTGTTTGTATCGGCAGCGCCTTCGGCGGACTTCTGTCTTGGCTGGCAGCTCGCAAACCCGAACAGCCCTCCTCACTCCTATCCTATCCGCGTCGGCGGTGGCTCTAGTGAGCGATGTTGTATAATTTGAGAGATGTGTTTCCCGCCACATCGAAAACGCATGTGCGTGCATAATTGCTCACCTGGGTAAGTCGGAGCTGTCACCAGACGTCGGGGACGCAAGCGGGCCCCCTGGAATTACGAAGTGGACATGTATCGGCATCGACTGGCGCACGCACATTCCTTGGAAATATGGTTTGATCACCCATCTGCTGCGTCGCCGTGGCGGCGCCACATGAGAACAACGAAACTGATAAGTACATGCCGCGATCCATGCTCTGATACAGGAAGACGCGGCTCACGAGCAGCCAGAGACACGGCCGAGCGTTGGTTCCTTTCAGCCCTCTCTGAGCCCACGCCTGCAGTACAGCTTGCGACAAAAAGTAGGGTGTCGATTGTGTTGATGGTGGTGGTGACGACGATGGCGATGAGCATCATACTTGTTATGATGATTGCGCTGCTTGCTTTGAAGCTATTGCAGGTGGTCGCCTGGTTTTGATCGAGAATCGCCTGTTTGCGAGAGCGGGAGGGGGAGGCTAAGGTTGAGCAGGACAAGGGGGGACAAGGGTCGATTGGGCAGTAATGCCAAGGTTAGGGGTTTGGCCAGAGGGTGGGTCCTCCTCTGCGTCCCCCCTCCTTCTTAGGAGGCGAGCCCCGCTGTGAAGCCCATTTGGGTCGTCCCCAGCTTTGTGAGTCCTTCACAGCAGCATGAGGCGGAAATGGGGAGGGTAATGCACCCATCAGACATTTCAAGACAACGCATCAATTCCATGGTCTCCAGGTATCGTTTAAAAGATTCACGAACCTGGACTGGGCCCAGGGTGGTTTCCTTGGAGCTCTCAGTTATCGTAGCACTGTCGTATCTCTGGACCTGGACAACGCTCGGAGCGAAGCACATGTACTTAGCGCATGGGGTGTGTTGGAGCCCTCTCCACACCTCTGGGAAACCTCGCTCACCACTTGGAAGGCGCCTCCGCCCGCCGACGAGGGAGCAGTCCGAGGACGTCGGCTCTGCGCCAGCACCTGGCCTGGCAGGCCCCTGGCCTGGAGCCGGGGCTGGTGCGGGTGCCTGGCCGCTGCCCCCCGCCCGAAGCCATCAGGGGCAACGATAGGGAGGGACAGGCACAGGGGGTGATGCATCGACCCCCAATCGCCCAGTGATCGCCGATAGGGGCCCGATAGCCCCAGCCTGCCCAGGAAGGTGCGGATTCACTATCGGAGGCCTATCGCCGATCCATCGGCGATGTATCGGCGATGCCAGGTAGATGTTTCCCCCCCTATTCCTTTCCCCCCCGTGTCGTTGCCCCTCAAGCCAGGGCCTGTCGGGGCATGTCGTCCGCGCGCGTCCCCGCCACGGCCGCAGGAGCTTGTCCGGACCTGGCTTCACGAGGGCGACGAGGCCGCAGAGAATTTTGTCCGTCGTGTCGTCCTCGTCCGTCGCCCTGCGGCACGCATGCGACGAGAATTGTGGGCGCCTCGGTCTGTCTCCTCTGTCCTCCCCTGTCCCTTCTGCGTACGCCTCTTCCCCCCTCAACTTCTCCACCATTGTCTGTTCCACCCTGGCGCCCAGGGGGCCAACGGCAATATTCTCGCAGCCTGGACCCCTTGCTGGAACAGCCACAACACGCACTAAAAGCATCTGAAGATTGACTGGGTGTTTCGTAGTGGTTCTTAGCAGCGAAACGTCGAACATCCGTATGCCATCGAGCAAATCAGATCCCATTGGACACCAGCACACTACACGTCATCTGGGGCAACACGCGTCGTGCAAGCGCCGTGCTGTTTCATGCAGGTCGTTGTGGATGGATAGTGGCATCGCCTTTGTCAAATAGCTTTCACCCTTGTTCTTGGGGTGAATGGGGGTAGTAGAAGGGAGCGGGGAAATGACTGCATCGGGCATTCCATCAGATGTCAGACAGGATCTCATCGGGCCGTTCACCAGGCAATGAGCAGCACTGGTGTTCAACTCCGCCACGTTCCACAGACAGGATGTGTGAATTCTTATGAGGATTGAGAACGGGGTTGATTTTGTACTCGTCTCTGCGTGGGGCACCGCGCGCTAGCAATGAGGACACACTCCGTGTGTGCCAATCAGAGCTGGGCCACAACGACTGGACCAACATGTTCCCGACAATTGATGTGCATTGTCCTGGCATCGCTCGGACGTGTGAATTTTTCCTTCGGCGAGGACCATCGAGGAGCATCCTTGATCATTTGGCGGAAAAAACCACGCACGAAACCGAAGAAAGCACAGGGAATGGACGTCCGAGCGATGGCCACTTGTGGCTTGGGTTTGTTCCACACGCTCCTGAGTGACAAATTCGTCGCCGTTGCTGTTGTCGCCATCGCCGCAACCGTCCCGACGCCATCGCCGGTGCCATGTGTGGTCGTTCCGGTGCGTGGCTGGCGCGCCGCCCCTCGCTCCTTTTGCGGTTCAAAGGTGTTGGTTGTTCTTTTGGCTACCAGTTATTTGGCGAACGATGTATGGCCGACGGTGCGTGTTCCAATCAGAGTTCGTGCAGCGGCACGCTGAGATTTCGGAATTACCGTATCCGCACGATGCCAGTCTGCGCGCGTGTTCGTACTAAAGTCCAGTCTGAGCATGTCTACTTGCAGTCATCCTTTGCCATGTGCACACTCGCATTGGTCCGATCTAAAGGCTTCCGTACCCCTGCGATGGCATTCGTCTGTTTGGATGCAGGGATTGCATCGGTGCGCGCCTTCGCATGATTCTTGTATGTTCTCAAGCGCGTCGACTGTTGAACACGCTGATGACCTTGACACTGCACGAAGCACCTCCGGTGTGCCCGGGGCCCCGGATTGATGGCATCGCGGCGTGTGGCGACGGCGGAGCGCGCGCGGCCGCTCGCGCGCGCAGCCCGCGAGAGGCCTTCGGCTGGCACCGGGGTGGCCGCTGCGCGCCGGCGTACATGCCGCCGCGGCGCGTGTTCCGGCCAGAGGCCGCTGGCCTGTCTCGCTCTGCTTGGAGTGCCGTCGGGGAGAGGCTGCTGGTGCTGGTGGGCAGGACTTTCTCTGGCTCTTCTGGGCGCGCAACCGAGGGGGGCTCGTGGGCGAAAAGCATATCCGTATCCGCGGCCTTACGGGCAGGCCCCTCGAGCCGCGACCCTGCGGATACAGGGCATTTGTTCTCGGATGCCCCGCGCGGAACGCATCCGTGCGGCTGCGTATCCGCGAGATCGCGCCCCAGACTTCAGACCGCGAAGGCACGGATACGGATATGTTCCCCCCTCGTGATGGGCTCTTCGGGAGCTTTGCGTCGCTCCTTCAAGCTTGCTCCAGCAGCTGCGCCGCGACGGGAGCTCCCCAGCTGCGCGACAGTCTTCCTGAATATTTATGTGAGGCCTGGGCTGTGGCCGAGGGACCGCTGGGGCCCAAGGCTTCTACACTTCTGGTTTGGTGGTATATGTGGGGCACCGCCCCTCGGAGGGCCGGATCGGGGTCTCCGCGGCCCCGCTGCGGATTGCTGTGGCGCGCTGGGGAACTCCAGGGACGTCACAAGAGCCGACCCTGGGCTGCTGTGTGGAAGTTTTACTCACCAGTCGTACGATGAGGCAAGGCAAGCATCGTGCGGGCCCAGGACCGGGATCAACGGTTCCACAGCGTTGCAGAATGTTCTCAGAGCGGTTTTGGAGCGCTTTGGATGGGCCGCGGCGCCGATACATCCTTCAGAACCGCCGCATCTCAGAGACCCCCGATTTATCCCGGTCCGATTATATCCCCGCACTTGGCTTCGTCTTCAGGCAAGCTGCAGGGGCAAGCTCGCAAGCTGCGGAAGCCCGTGGAGAGCCGCCTTGGCTTAGGGGCGGCCAAGAGTGGGGGATGACTGCGGGGTAGTATCATGGCAGGGGCCGTGAGATCTCCCCGGATCTCACGGCAATTTTTCTATTCCAGCAATTCCTTTGGCACTCCCCCGTTCAAACAAGAGCCTCCTCTTCTCTAACTCTCTATGCTTCTTTTTTTGTTTTTCTCTCTCTCTCTCTGTTTCTCTCTGTTTCTCTATCTCTCTGTATATACACACACCAAACAGTGCTTTCAATTAGGGGCTCGTACTTCTCGTCTAAAGAACTGTCATTGAATGTCGGTCTTGCGGCGCCGTGCTCGCCATCGCCGCCCCGTCGCCGCCTCGTCGCCGCCCGTCATCTGGGCCAGAAGGACGGTCTGGCGGCTCCGTGCTCGCCGTCGCCGCCTCGCATAAGTTCTCCTTTCTGAAAGATTAATAGACTCCACCCCCCTCCTCTTCGCGTGGCGCTACACTGTCCTGCTCACCTTGTTGTGTCGACGACGGAGTGGACGCGGAAATCTGCAGTCCAGCTTCCCCGCTTCCCCGCCGAGGTAGGGTTCACTCTGGCGCGAAGAGGCGAATGGTGGTTCGACGTTCTTGGGATGTCAAAAAAAAAAAAAGATTAATAGATTCCACCCCTTACCCCCCCGGACTTATCGGTTCTCCTTGGGATAGTATGATTTTATATGTGTATATATATATGTATTCTGCACACTCGTCCATCCTAAATATAAAATCATACCATCCCAGCCAAACCGGGTTCCCCCCCCTGCGGTTCCCTTTGTAAAAAAAACTATGCGGTGACACGTTTTGTTCTAACACAACACTTTTTCACGAATCCCTTCGAAGAAATTTGACGAAGTGCACACGCGCGCGTCGCCGCGCGCGCATGCCGAAATCCTTCACAAACCTTCGGTGCCGGAAGGATTTCGCAATCGAGTTTCCAAAAAACATGCAAAAACGCAGAGTTTCGCAGCACTGATTTGCTAAAAAACGCTTACGCGCGATCTCTTGCGAAATCTTATGGAAAAAACCATTGGTTTTCAAGATTTTCACAACATGCTACCAAACGGGCGTCGCGCGCGCGCATGTTGAAATCTGTCGAACGCCCTTGCGCGTGTGCCGTCGCGAGAATCCTCTGCAACAAATGGGACGAAGTGCAGACGCGCGCGTCGTCGCGCGCGTATGCCGAAATCCTTCAAAACCCATCGGTTTCGAAAGGATTTCAAAATCGTGCGTCCAAATTTTTTTTTTACAAAAAAAACCCAAGGTTTCGCAACACGGATTTTCAACAAAAGCGTGCGCGCGCGCTCTTGCGTCGTCGTCGTCGTCGTCGCCGTCCTCCCTCCTCCCGCGTCGTCGTCGTCGTCGCCTACGTCGTCCTCTGTCTTTCCTCGTGTTCGTCGTCGTCGTCCTCTTTGGCGTCGTGGTCGTTTCCGTCGTCGTTGTCGCCGTGGTCGTCCTTCCTCCTCCTCCCTCGTCGTCGTCGTCGTCCGTCGTCGGCGTCTCGTCGTCGTCCCTTCTATTTCGTCGCCGTCGTCGTCGTCGTCGTCGTTGTCGTCGTCGTCGTTTTCTCTCCTCCCTCGTCGTTGTCGTCGTCGGCGTCGCCGTCCTTCCTCCTTCGTCGTTCGCTTCGTCGCCGTCCTCCCTCCTCCCTCGTCGTTGTCGTCGTTGTCACCGTCGTCGTCCTCCCTCCTCCCTCGTCGTCGTCTTCGTGAGCGACGTCGTCGTCGTCTTCGTCGTCGTCGGCGTCGGCGTCGTCGTCGTCCTCGTCGTCGACGTCGGCGTCGTCGTTGTCGCCGTCGTCGTCGTCGTCGTTGGCGTCGTTGACGTCGTCGTCGTGGTCGTCGGTGTCGTCGTTGTCGTCGTCGTCGGCGTCGTCATCGTCGTCGTCGTTGTCATCGTCGTCGTCGTCGTCGGTGCCGGCGTCGTCGTCGTCGTCGTCGTCGTCGTTGTCGGCGTCGTCGAAGTCGTTGGAGACGTCGTCGGTGTCGTCGTACTCGTTGTCGGCGTCGTCGTCGTCGTTGTCGCTGTCGTCGTCGGCGTCGCTGTCGTTGCCAAGTGCCATTTGGTACCCACCGTCACGGTCTTAAGAGATTTTGCAAGCCAAGTTGCGGGCGGGTGGGTGGGTGGGATGTTTGCGCGAGCAGTGGAGTGGACAACTCACTGCGAACAGAAATTAATTCTCCTTTCTAAAAAGAGAGTAGACTCTACCCCCCCCCGGACTTATCGCTTCCCCTTTGGATAGTATAATTTCATATCTGTATATATATATATGTATGTATATGTATATGTATATGTATATTTATATGTATGTATATGTATATGTATTCTGCACACTCGTCCATCCTAGATATGAAATCATACCATGCCAGGCAGGCCGGGTTCCCCCCCCTGAGGTTCCCTTGTGAAAAAAAAAAAAAAAAAAACACTATGCGGTGACATTTTTTGTTCTAACATAATACTTTTTTCGCGAATCCCTAGCAAACCATTGGACGAAGTGCACACGCGCGCGTCGTCGCGCGCGCATGCCGAAATCCTTCGAAAGCTTTCGGTGCCGGAAGGATTTCGCAATCGATATTCCAAAAAAAAACAAAAACATATGGTTTCGCAACACTGATTTGCTAAAAAAGCTTCCGCGCGAGCTCTTGCGAAATCTTCAGAAAAAAACCATTGGTTTTTCAAGATTTTCACAAACTGCTTCCAAACTGGCTTCGCGCGCGCGCATGTCGAAATCTGTCGAACGCCCTTGCGCGTGTGCCGTCGCGCGAATCCTTTGCAAAAAATGATACGAAGTGCAGACGCGCGCGTCGTCGCGGGCGTATGCCGGAAACCTTCAAAACCCATCGGTTTCGGAAGGATTTCAAAATCGTGCGTCCACAAAACATACAAAAACCGAAAGGTTTCGCAACACGGAATTTCAACAAAAGCGTGCGCGCGCGCTCTTGCGTCGTCGTCGTCGTCGTCGTCGCCGTCCTCCCTCCTCCCGCGTCGTCGTCGTCGTCGCCTACGTCGTCCTCTGTCTTTTCTCGTGTTCGTCGTCGTCGTCCTCTTTGGCGTCGTGGTCGTTTCCGTCGTCGTTGTCGCCGTGGTCGTCCTTCCTCCTCCCACATCGTCGTCGTCGTCCGTCGTCGGCGTCTCGTCGTCGTCCCTCCTATTTCGTCGCCGTCGTCGTCATCGTTGTCGTCGTCGTCTTCCCTCCTCCCTCGTCGTTGTCGTCGTCGGCGTCGCCGTCCTTCCTCCTTCGCCGTCGTTCGCGTCGTCGCTGTCCTCCCTCCTCCCTCGTCGTTGTCGTCGTTGTCGTCGTTGTCGCCGTCGCCGTCCTTACTCCTTCCTCGTCGTCGCCTTCGTTGGTGTCGTCGTCGTCGTCTTCGTCGGCGTCGGCGTCGGCGTCGTTGTCGTCGTCGAAGTCGTCGGAGACGTCGTCGGTGTCGTCCTAGTCGTAGTCGTCGGTGTCGTCGTAGTCGGTCTTAACAGGTTTTGCAAACCAAGTTGCGGGTGGATGGGTGGGATGTTTGCGCGAGCAGTGGGGATGGCGACTTCAAGTTCAGCAGAGTGGAATGCACCGCATAGAGTGCACCGCATAGATTGCACCACCTAGGTCTCTTTGCACCACATAGATTGCACGACATAGTCACTGCGAGCAAAACGTAGCCGCACCAGATCGATTCTCTTTTCCAAAAAGAAAATAGACTCTACCCTCCCCCCCGGACTTATCGGTTCCCCCTGGGATACGATGATTGCATATATATATATATATATATATATATATATATATATATATTATGCACGCTCGTCCATCCTACATATGAAACCATACCATCCCAGCTAGGCCGGTTTCCCCCCCCTGCGGTTCCCTTGCAATAAACACCATGCGGTGACATTTTTTGCTATAGCATAGCACTTTTTCACGAATCGCTTGCAGAACATGGGACGAAGTGCAGACGCGCGCGTCGTCGCGCGCGCATGCCGAAATCCTTCAAAAACCTTCGGTGCCGGAAGGATTTCGCAATCGAGTTTCCAAAAAACATACAAAAACATATCGTTTCGCAACCCTGGTTTGCTAAAAAAGCTTCCGCGCGAGCTCTTGCGAAATCTTAGGAAAAAACCGTTATGTTTTTTTTTTTCAAGATTTTCACAAAATGCTACCAAACGGGCTTCGCGCGCGCGCATGTCGAAATCTGTCGAACGCCCTTGCGCGTGTGCCGTCGCGAGAATCCTTTGCAACAAATGATACGAAGTGCAGACGCGCGCGTCGTCGCGGGCGTATGCCGAAAACCGTCAAAACCCATCGGTTTCGGAAGGATTTCAAAATCGTGCGTCCAAAAAACATACAACAACCCAAGGTTTCGCAACACGAATTTTCAACAAAAGCGTGCGCGCGCGCTCTTGCGTCGTCGTCGTCGTCGTCGCCGTCCTCCCTCCTCCCGCGTCGTCGTCGTCGCCTACGTCGTCCTCTGTGCTTTCTCGTGTTCGTCGTCGTCGTCCTCTTTGGCGTCGTGGTCGTTTCCGTCGTCGTTGTCGCCG